GGCTCCCCTCTCTAGTTCCCTCCTCAAACCACCCAGTAGGGCAGCAAGGATTACTCAGGGCTAGCAGGAGGGAGGGAGGGAGGGAGAGAGAGAGAGAGAGAGAGAGAGAGAGAGAGAGAGAGAGAATGCCAGAGAGTGGCCTTTTTATTGGGGAACAAGAAATTCAGGGGAGAATTCCATCCAATGAAGGTTGAGGGGGGCCGCACTCCAAGGTCAGGGTCAGTGATTGGCCCCCGGGGTCAGTGGTCAGTCACACCCCCACACCGACGGGCTCTCTCATCAGGAGGGCCAGGAAAGCTCCGACACAGTTAGCCAGAGCGCCTCAGACCCAAACCGGGAGTTGCCCAGTCACATGTGAGAATGGCTCTCCACAATACAGCAAAAAAAAAAAAAAAAAGTTATTTTTGTTTTTTTGTTTTGTTTTCCAGTTTGGGGGGGGTCTAAATACTAGGACTGAGTCCAAAGACACTACACCACTGAGCTCTATCCCCAGCCCATATTTTTATTTTGAGACACAGTCTCACTAAGTTGCTGAAGCTGGCCTTGAACTTGGCAATCCTCCCTAGATCTCCCCAGGATCTGGGGCCCAGTCCTGCGGTGAATAGTAAATCTTAAGTGTTCTAAAGAAGGTTGTCTATAATTAACCTCTTTCTTCAGTCCCAATAGTTTTATTAATCTTCCTATGTAGATTAAATACTAAAGATTTCTAATTAAATACTGTTAAGTACCTCAATCCTTTCAAACTATATTTTGTTAATATAAAGTGTTAAATGTTAAAGTTAACATAAAGTTAGTTTTCCCTTGAATATTGAAATAGATTCTAAAATATTTATTCAGATGTTCATTTGTTATTAAACTTTACAGAACACTGTAATATCTATTTTACTAATGCATCCAGTCTTTCATTCCAATTTATGTGGCATGTTGTTCTGAGCCTTCTGAGTAAAAGTTAAATCCCTGTGACATATGTTCTAATAGTACTAATAGGCTACCTATCCACTTTGACTGGATGACCAGAAAGCTCAAAGCTGAATTTTATGTTCAATTGTCTACAGCTATCCTTGGCCCTCGATTTTGATTACAATACTTCTTCCATCTTTCTATTTTCTTTATCACAGGCTCCTAGTTCTCATTTTGGAGGGTTTTGTCTTTGAGGTGCTGGGATTGAACCCAGAATCTCATGCACACTAAGTATGTGCTCTACAACTGAGCTTCAACCCCAGCCCCTCAATTCATTTTTAAGGATGAGTCCCATGATATGTGTTTTATTGAAACCACCTCAAAATCTTTTGTGGAAGCGGAGGATGGGGGTATAGCTTAGTGGTAGAGCATGTGCTTATGTACAAGGTCATGGGTTTGATACCCAGAACCAAAAAGAAGAAAAAATATTTCAGAAAGTGATATAAACAATTCTTCTATATTACTGTTCCTCTTGTTATTACTAACAAGGATGGAAGCAGCAATGGACAACTGTCTCCAAAACTCCCTTCTCTATACAGTGCATGTGCAATTTACCCAGAACAGTCTCTTTAGTTTCTAGTATTCAAAAACTCCTAAAGTTGGATGAAATACTCATTTGGGTCCTAACATTTTTGTGCAATATTAATTTTTTTGTGTTCACTGTTTTCGTGTACGTTGTCTTAAGCTCTTCAAAGACTATGAGATGCTGGTAGGAAGAGAATTTATCTTACACATCTTTTTATTCTAAGCAGCACCAAAACAAGCCTTTCACACTGCAGATGYGCATTAAAGATATATCCTACTTATGGAAAAAGTAAGTCAATTTTCTTAAAAATCCACTAGGTAAAGCCATGTGGGAGGCAATAGGCTGAAAGTGAAATTTCTATCTTAACACAGTTTACAAACTCAAAGAATGAAGATATGTAAATTATCTATACAATCAATAGGGATTGCATATACGTAAATACAAAGAAAGTTCCTGGAGTGGCTGCGTTTGGCAGGATTAGTCTGAGAACACTGAGGCTTTTAGTCAAGCTAAAGGAATAAGATCTGTCCATTCAGCCACAAATAATGACTCCAAAGAGGTACAAGGCAATAGTACTCAAAGAACAGCAAGAACATTTCTATGCACAGTAAATAAAGAACAGCAAACATCATTAGACAATGAAGGTGAGCTTTGGGGATGGCTGGCAGAGAGCCTGGAGGCAGCAATGGAAAACTAGAGCCTGGGCTTATTTAAAGATGATTTAATAAGGTACACTTTTTGGAAAAGGATTCACTACTGTGACAAGAATAGATCAGAGTGGAAAACCAGAATAAAAAACCTGAGCATACATGCTAGAGGTATATAGCAGACAAGACAAATACCCTGGGACAACCCGTTTAAACTCAGTGGTACATTTCAGTGACCAAGTGTCAGAATACAAGCACTTAAATCTGAGCCTTTTCAGAAAATCTTTCAATCAATCAATCAACACCCACTCTCTCTCTCTCTCTCAATTAATGTGTCTGAGACAGTATAACAAAATGTCTCGGAGAAACTGCCCTGGAGTCTGACTCCTAGGTTAAGACCTCAGCTCTGACACTCATTAGGTGTGTGACCTCAAGCAATCTTACTTATCCAGGTGTAAAACAGGGAGACAAGTTATACCTGCCTCTTAGAGATATATAAAATGCCTAGCAGAGTGAGTAGCACAAGAAGTTCTCAGCCAATACTATTAAGAAAATGTTCAATAAGGTATGAACCCCTTGCATTCATGTCACAGTCCTCCAGGGATGCTTGATGCTCAGGTTGGGAGTCATTTTCCTAGAAAATAAATAAAAAGCATAGAAGAGTAGTAAATTCCATCAGCCAAGTATTTATGTGGCAGCTCCAGGACTCAGCACTGCGCTAAGTGCAACAACAGGAAGTCAATGCAACGCTAAGCAAGCAAGAAGACAATGCTGAGGGCAGACATTGGAGGGAACTGAGGAAAGGACACTGGGGCAGAGAACAGGAGACTGACAGAGAAGCAGGGTTTTTTCTTGTTTTGTTTTGTTTTGTTTTGTTTTGTTTTGTTTTGTTTTGTTACTGGAGATTGAACTCAGGAGAGCTTTACCACTAAGTCACATCCTCAGCTTCTTATTTTTTTATTTTCAGACAGTGTATCAGTAAGTTGCTTAAAGTCTTGTATTGAGGCTATCCTCAAACTTATCCTCCTGCCTCAACCACCTGAGTGGCTGGGATTACAGGTATGTGCCAAAGAGCCTGGCAAGTGTCTAAAGCTGGAAATGAGTCAAAAAATTCTAGTTAGGGTATGTTGAGCATGGTGCTTCAGGAGACACTCCTCCACACACACATACCTCTGGTGGCAGCCTGCAGGACAAAGTAGAGTGATGGGCCACTTTCAAGTCTTCCTAGCCACTCAGTACCAGTCAAGTGACCACTCTCAAATGTTTAAGTAAGGTTCCATTTCTAACCTGCACTGACTACTAGTCACTTAAATTGGTATAAGCAATACACGTAGCACATTAATATCTTTACCAATTTCTCAACAATTCTAAAAAGATTGCTACTTTCAAGAGATCATGTAAATTTAGCTAACAGTTGAGCTTTGGAGCTAGTCTGAGTTTTTGGAAAAAAGGAATCATCTGTAGAAAGGTCTCCAGTATTTCAAGAGAGAGGACAGGGCTGCAGGGATAGATCAGGGGTAGAACATGCATACAAAGTCCTTGGTTTCATAACCAAAATATAGAGAATGAGACAGTAAGTAGGCCCTGACCTGTCTTACTGCCTGATTTTATGGGATTTCTTCCTCAAATTCAGATCCTTCTCCTAAGCACCTCTCTTACCAGTTTTGAAACACCTGTTTTAATTACTTTACACAAAACAAGATGCACAAATAACTAGAAATTAACCAGGATACAGAAGTTGAAATTGTCCAATATTCTGAGGCTGTGTATCTGACCAGTTTCAATTTCTCCTTCTCTAATGTTAGGGAGCTTTGAAAGTAGCTTCACTCCAAATAGACACTTTCCAACTGGCTGACCTCAGGCAAATCAAACTCCTAAACCTCAATTTCCACATCTACAAGGTGGGAATAATAGGGAGTTCATTGTGAGAACCAGTGAGTTATTATTAGTCATGTAACTGGAATATAAAGAGCACAATATGTATAAGCTATTATTATCATCTTTTACATCTTCCTTATTTAAGCATTATATTAGTCACCCCCCTACCGGAAGCTATCCAGGGACACACAATATCCCATTTTTTCTATAGGAATACATGAATACCCTTGAAGCTTGATAAGACACAGTGGTCTGCCCCACCTGTTGTAATACCTCTAGGAAATGACTGTCACAAACTAGGCACTCTCAGCCTGCAACATAAGGTCCCAACATTCAGGACAGCTCCACCTGATTACCCCACTGAAGGAATTCATTTCTTTGGAAATAAAAGCTAGCATTAGTTTGGGACGTGTCCGTGAGAAACCTGCAAAATGTGATCATGAATCTCAGAAGTTCGTGTGATTCTAAAAGTTTTTGTGAGTTCTCCCCTTACCCAGATATTTCCTAGTATGTGACTCTACAGCACTACTTTCTTTTCTATCTGGAAATCTGGTCAGGGGGTACCAAGAAAGCAAGGCACCGCCTTCTCTGCTTCCCAGGCATTAGAGTTAAGTAGGATTGGTTCTTTCCCCTCCTTGGGCACTAAGATCTGCCAAGAACGAAATTCCAATTGCACCCTCAGGCTTGGAGATACAAGCACGGCGGTCACCAGGTGGGCGAGGGTAATCCTGCCCAGGTATGAAGAACACACCCCGTGCGGAACACAAGCTCATAACCCCCAGAGGAAGACCAGAAGTCTAGGAGACATTTCATACGCTCCACATGCAACACACTCCCCGCGGCGCATTGCTGTCCCACCTCCCGGCAGCAGACACCTTCCGGGACGCCCAGAAGGCTGTTCCTGGAGACGCAGGCAGCCCGGAGCCGAGGGAGCGCACGCACACGTGCCTGGCAGCCCCAGGCCCGCTCGCCCCCGCCTCCGCACTCACCTGGCCGGTGATGCCAGTGATGAGCGCCACCTTCCTGAACTTGCCCATCTCGCCGTCCCCGGAACCCCGGGGGCTAGGGCAGCGTGCCGACGCGTGTGCCATGTCGCCGCGGACAGGCGGGCGTGCGGCCCAGGGCGGGAAGGGCGGAGCAGAGCAGAGCTCGGGCGGCAGCGCCGGCTAGGATGTTGGGGGTGTGCCGTGCGCAAGCTGCCTCGTCGGGCTGCAGGATGAGGGAGAGCGCACCGCGCTGCGGGCCGCCACAGTCTGACAGGGGCGCGCGGGAGGCTGGGCGGGGAGGGACAGGGGCGGGCCGAGGCGGGCCCGGCGGCGGGGCTGCGGCCTGGCGGGCGCCGCGTCATCCGCGTCAGCCCGCTACGCTGCCCCGGCGCCCGCGGCAAGCCACGCCTCTCGCCGGCGGCCGCGCGGGAGGGGCGGGGCTTGTCGCCGCCTCCTCGGGTAAGAGCAAGGCCGCSGGTCGTCGCGCCCGCCTCGCCAGCGGTGGGGCAGCGGGAGGAGGGGCTGGCCCCCGGCGGCCTGGGCTCTGTCCCTGCGTGCTCTCTTCCCCTCCCAAATGTCCCAGGAATCCTGATGTCACCCGAGGATGCTGGGAGGAACTATGAGCGACCTTTCCGTTAGAAAAAAAGCCCTCAATTCCACATCCAGGCGTCCCAGGTTCGGGGTTGTGGACTTTGGTAAATTATTCCTGGGAAACTGTTGCATTGGCCTGTTTAGTCTGGTTTCCAGTTACTTGAAGGACACTAGCGTTAGAGGGCCCTAAATGGGGTCACAGATATAGGGAAAGACTAACCTCACCCCTAGCCTGGCTTTCTGACTTTGGGCTTTTATGAGGCTTGGAAGTGTGTGTACAAGGTTCCAAGTAGCTCTATTTAAAAGTACAGTATTCAGGGCTGGGGCTATAACTCAGTGGTAGAGCGCTTTCTTGTACATGTGAGGTACTGGGTTTGATCTCAACACCACATAAAATAAATAAATAAGGATATTGTGTCCATCTACTACAAAAATGAAACAAAAAATAAAGGATCCATTAAAAAAAAAAAAGTACAGTATTCAAGTTTGCAGGACTTGCTGTACAAGACCAGAAAGTCTCTGGCCCCACCCACTTGCAGCATAAAGACAAGTGACAAAAAGACTGCACGGGTCAATAAACCTGCAAGTGGTAAATGTCGAAGAGTAATTCAGACATAAGGCAGAGTCCCAGCTTGGCGTCTGTGGGATTTAGCTTGCATTTGGCAGATACACATTGGGCAAGACAAGGAGTGTGTGTGACTCAAAGGGAGGGTAGCAAGTGTGAGGGGAAGAGACAAACTTCCCTCCCCCACTTTGCTTTTTATCTGTACATAATTCTCTCCCTCAAATAACCTCAGATAATTGCTTTATATCAAAAACTGATTCCCTGAGACAGTGCCTAACATAACAAGCAGGATGTGGTGCAGACCTGGATTCCCCAAATCAGTAAAACTCAAAATTAAATTAACCCCTCAGGAACATTCCTTAGTTTTATAGACAGAATTGTCTGGTTTCATACCTTGATTCTGCTTTGGGTATTCTGTAGCAAGAATGGGACCCTAAAGTAGAGAAAACACATTCATTTAGAGGAATTCAGTATATGTCTTTGAAATATACTAGATTATCTTAAAAACTTATATTTGTTTTCATCTGAATTGATCCTTTCCAAAAAATTGCTGAGAAAAATCTATACTCAAAGGAGATATTCCCCATTTCTCCCATAGCTTGGCAAACTATCACACCAGCAAACACCAAAAATTCACCTATCCTAGTAAAAAATGTGACAGGTAGAGATGTTATCTTTGGGGTGTCCACTTGGGGTCTAGGTCCAAAACAAAGAGTTGAACAAGACACACGGAAGTACCAGAAAAAGTACAGATTCATTGAAGGTGAAGGTGAGAGTAGAACTCCATAAGGTAGAGCAAAGTAGATGAGCAAGAAAGAGAAGCTTACAGCCCTGATATCTGGAAATATCTGACTTATATGCTGAGGTGTGAGGTGTTCTCTTCCCTTTAGGAACCTGATGGAAGATCTTACCCCATTTGCTCCCACTGGTTATTTTAGAACACCAAACTTGTGGCAGGAGTTATCATGGGCAATTAGTCTTCAGTGGTGGGAGTTGTCATGGTAATGGGATATCATAAACATGGATATGATGACTCATCTCCTGTCTTGTCCTCCAGTGGCATTTTTCTTGTACCCTGCCTCAGCCATCTTGGCATCCCTGAACTCCTAACAGAAATCACCAAAATAAAACCAATATTGTTAAGGCCTGAAAATAAAATATTTATAAGATATTAAGAGAACATAGTTAAAAAATATTGAAGATCAGAGATGAAAACTGAAGTATATTTTTCTCGAAAATTTCTAATACGGATGGTGAGGCAGTTTATTAACCTGCCAGGGCTTTCATAACACTGAACCACAGAGTAGGTGACTTAAACAACAGAAATTTATTTCTTCACAGTTCTGGAGGTTGGAAGTACAAGATCAAGGGTTGATTTCTTCTGAGGCCTCTCTTCTTTGCTTGTGGAGTCATCTGTCTTCATGTCCAGGTGATGTTCTTCCCACATATGTGTTTGTGTCCAAATTTGCTATTCTTATGAGGACACCAGTTATGTCTGATTAGGACCCTAACAACCTCTTTTTAAACTTAATTACTTCTTTTAAGACCCTATTTCCAAATACATCCACATTTTGAGCTACTAAGGTTTAAGACTTTACTATATGAATTGAGGGAGGAACAAAATTCAGTCCATAACAGAGAGAGACAGGGAAAGAGGTTTTTCTGGTTCCTTTGATTTAGAGGTAGGAAAGGAAATGTGTGATGAGAGTGGATGTTGTAATTTTCCCTGTGGCATTAGGGGAATATGAACAGTCGGCACAGGGGTTAGGTAGCATGAGAAGGTTGATTACATTAGCTAGAAGGAAAGTTACAGGATATAGAATAGTGAAAAGCTCTAGGGGCAATGGTCCTAATTGTGTTTACTCTAACATATTAATTCCCAACCATAAGTGATTTTGCCCCCGAGGGGACATTGGACAATGTCTGGAGACACAGTTTGGTTGTCCTAACTGAACTTGTGCTGTTGGTATTTATTAAGTAGAGGCCAGGTATGTTTCTCAACATCTAACAATGAACAGAATAGCCTTTCTCAACAAAGAATAATCTGGCTGAATATTTAGATATATTTGGTCTCCTGTATCCATGTGTTCTGCACCTATAGATTCAACCACCCTCTATTATATACTATGTAGTTAGTTCTACAGTGTTTGTGTCTATACTGAACATCTATAGTCATTTTTTTCTTCTCATCATTCCCTAAAAGATATACCATAATAATAGCATAACATAGCATTTTTATTATATTAGGTATTATAAGTCATCTAAAGATGATTTAGGGGTGGGGTTTTATCTCAGCGGCAGAGTACTTGCCTAGTATGCTTGAGGCCCAAGTTTGCTCCCCAGCACTACAAAAAAAAAAAAAAAAAAAAAGAAAGAAAGAAAACTTAAAGGCTATGGGAGAATTATATAGGAATATGCAAATGCTTCCCCATGTTGTAAAAAAGACTTAAGAATCTGCAGATATTGATACCTGTGGAGCGGTGGAAGGCATATCCTGGAATCAGTCTCCTTTGTATTTCGAACTTGGATTTCAACTCTATAGGAGTCCTAGAACAGAGGCCCAACTCTCAGGGTCCAAGCAAGTTGGGTCTAGTCATTCAACCCAAAAACCAAATGGTGAAACCAAATGGTAAAGGGCAGGAAAGGAATATTAATCAGTAGAGCTAACAAGGAAGTTGAACGAGACCAACATTTCCAGTGCTGTCTTCAGTGGTACTGGCATGATCTCCAAGGTTATCCAGAAAAGGGGCAGGAAAAGCATGCACAGTCATGCACATATCAAGCCTAGTTGATCATTTTCTTATGATTGGTCATAGGGAGACTTGTTGCTATTACATGGTGGGTAATTTGGGCACACCACAAGATTTTATCCATCAGATACATTGTTCCTGGAATCCAAGATGACTGACTCATAGCAAAAGAGACAGATGTAAAATGGAGGCAGAGATGCCATTTTCTTTTATATGTACAGGTCCAAGTAAAGAGTTAGTATTTTCAGCAAAAGCAACCTTGAAATCCTTGTGTACAGACATGCATCCACTACCACCCTCAAGATATTGAACAGTTCCAATACCACAAGGATGCCTCATGTTTCTCTTTTATAACCACTCCACTCCCTCTTGCCCATCTCTAGTCTCTGAAACTACCAATCTGCTCTCTATTTCTAAGATTTTTCCACTCAAGCTCCCTGGAGATTCACCCAACTTCTATGTATTGACATTTGGTTCACTTTTACTGTTGAGTATATTCTACCACATGGATGTCAATTTTTTTTTTTTTAACCACTCACACGTTGAAAAATTTCTGGGTTGTTTCCAGTTTGGAACTGCCATAAATAAAGCTGACATAAACATTCATGTATAGATTTTTGTATGAATGAAAGTTTCATTTTGAAGCATGATACCCACTATGACTTGAATCACACAAAATGGGATGTTGTATATGTACACACTTGATCTGGAGGTGCCACATCCTGCTTGGGATTGGATGAGTTTGTTCTTTGCGTGTGTTTGTTTGTTTGTTTGTTTATTGGTTTCCTGTAATGTACATATTAGTGTTTAAAAAAATAAACCCTATTTTAAAAGCCTGGGGGAAAAAAAGAAAGATTCATTTTGCCCCATAGTAGAATCACATAGTAATTTTTTTAAAACTGATAAAGTGTTCCTTTGCAAGGATTTTATAAATATAAAATTCCCTGAATTAAATTCCATTCTTCTTGAAATACCTATAGCAGTCTCTGTGTCCAGCACTAAATCCTGACTGACATGGTGGTATAGGTAAGACTGGACTGCAGATTCAGTGCCCATAATTAAGACTGAAAGATTAATGAAATGGCCACAGCATGTGAGTGTGATTGAGAAAGAAGGGTTGGAGCAAGAGAAATTATACAGGGGGAAAGTATAGACCATTTCCTTTTTACTTTCCTTCCACTTCAGGATTTACACCAGTTTTCCAGTTTAGGAAATAAGTAGGATTGAAGCACTGGATTTTTAAATGAACTCTTACAAAATCTAATTTTGTTGGACATGAAACAGTGTGGAAAACTGGTTTTTCACTGGAAAAAAATTACTTTGCATGGATCTTCTTTCTAAGAATACATAGCAGAAGCAACAGGGTTTTACACACAGAATTGGAAGACAACAAGATATTCCTAGGGTCTGAAATTCCTAGGGT